CAGTGTAATAAACGGTCTATTTCTTCACTTAACAGTCACATATAACCGATGAGCCAACAGTGTAATAAACTGTCTATTTCTTCACTTTAAAGTCCAATTTAACCAATAAGCCAACAGTGTAATAAACGGTCTATTTCTTCACTTAACAGTCCAATATGACCAATAAGCCAACAGTGTAATAAACGGTCTATTTCTTCACTTAACGGTCCCATATAACCAATATGGCCAGCAGTGTAATAAACGGTCTATTTCTTCACTTAACAGTCCCATATAACCAATAAGCCGACAGTGTAATAAACGGTATATTTCTTCACTTAACGGTCCCATATAACCAATATGGCCAGCAGTGTAATAAACGGTCTATTTCTGTACTTAACAGTCAATATAACCGATGAGCCAACAGTGTAATAAACGGTCTATTTCTTCACTAAACAGTCCCATATAACCAATAAGCCAACAGTGTAATAAACGGTCTATTTCTTTACTTAACAGTTCTATATACCTGATGCGCCACAAGGGTGATAAAAAGGTCCATTACTTTACTTCTTTTTTCTTCTTTTGTCAGAATCTGCTTGTGCCGCTTGGCGTCGCAGTCTATCAGATGATCGGCAACCGAGCCAGGGCGCGCTCAGTCGCTTCATATGCCGTGATGTTATGAAGTCTCAAGTTGTCCGTGACTCCTTCAATCCATCTTCTTCTTGGTCTTCCCCTGCCTCTTAGTGTTTCGATTTTCATGTTGTATGCTCTTGATGCTGGCATCGTTGGTTCCATTCTCATTAGGTGACCAAACCATTTCATTCTTTGCTTCTCAAAAAATTTAACGATGGGTATGGTTCCAATAGTTCTTGTAATCACATCGTTTCTCACTCGATTTCTTCTGGTTTTATTCGTAGCCATTCTCAAACATCTCATTTCACAGGTGGTTAGTCTTCTCTCGTGTTCTTTTGTTAATGTCCAAGTCTGACATTGATAACCTAATGTCGGTATAAAGATTGTATTTATAATTTGTCTTTTTATCTCAACTGGGACACCAGGGTGTTTTAAAATTGGGGCAAGCTGGTATGCGACATTGTTGGCTTGTTGGATTCTTGCTTCGATCTCTCTGTCTATTTTACCATTGAATGTAAGATACTTCCCAAGTATTTAAATTCCTGCACTTGTTTTAGGCTGTGATCTAGAATCTTTATGTCGATGGTCTGTTGCTCTCTACTTATGCTCATGACTTCTGTCTTTTCAGTATTGATCTTCATATGATGCTTGAGGCAACTGTCGTGTAGTAGGTTTATGTGGTCTTGCAGCTGTTTACTATCACTGTGAAATAGGCATTGATCGTCGGCAAAGAGCAGCTCATTGAAGTCCTCCTGTTTATCGACATCTGTTGGTGTTATGTCTATTTTATTAATATTGTCCCTAAATATTATGAAAAGTAAAGGTGATAATACACAACCTTGTCTTACTCCTGATGTTACTGGGAACCAGTCTGTGATGCCAGCTCTTGTTCTAATGGCGCTTTCACTTTGTCTATAAATAGCCCTAACACAATCTAAAATTGTTCCATATATACCGTAGTTTTCAAGAACTTTCCATAATAAATTTCTGTTTACTCTATCGAAAGCTTTTTCTTGATCTATGAAAGCGATGTTCATTTGATGTCTGTGTTCTATTGTCTTTTCGCTAACTTGTCTTAAAGCAAAAACAGCGTCAGTACACCCTCTTCCTTTCCTAAATCCGACCTGTGATGGGCTCAGGATCGGTTCTACAACGGATCTAATTCGTTGTTCCAGAATTTTGGCAAACATTTTTCCTACGTGGCTTAAAAGGGAGATGCCTCTGTAATTGTTACAATCTTGCTTGTTGCTTTTTCTTTTCCAAATTGGGAATATAAGGGCTCTTTGCCAGTCTATTGGTACAGTTCTTTCATTCCATGCTTTCCTAAATATGTGGAGTAGCCAGGTGACTCCAATTTCTCCACAAGCCTGTATTGCCTCGGCTGATATTCCATCAACACCTGATGCTTTATTTTTGGGACTGCATCTGATTGCTTCTCTGACTTCTTGTTCGATTACTGTAGGCTGTACATCTGGGTGTGAATGGTACTGTTTCCTCATTTCCTGTTACGTTCAGAAGAGTCTGAAAATATTCTTTCCGCCTTTCTCTGATCTTGCCCTCCTCATGTATGGGTTTGCCTTCACTATCATTGACATATTCAGATGGCTGGAATGGTTCATCTCTAGATCTCATTTTTGAAATGGTTTTGTAAAACTGTCTACTAGATTTAGCACAGATTTTGGTAAGATTTTCCCCATACATGATCCAGGATGTTTCCTCGGATTGTTTAATTTCTCTTGCAGATTGTCGCCTGGCAATTCTGTACTTGATATAATCGTCATCTGAGCGGGATCTTAGCCATTTCTTGTATTGCTCCTTTTTACATTTCACTGCTTGTTTTACGTTATCATTCCACCATGCTGTTTTTTTTCCTGAACGTTCCTCCTGTGTATCTAATACCACAGATTGTTGTTAGGCAGCTCAGAAGAGTGTTCTTAAATTTTTGCCACGCAGCTTCCACACTGTCACTTGATTACTTTACTTAACAGTCTAAATAACCGATGCGCTACTGGCGTGATAAAAGGTTCATTATTTATACTCACCAGTACTATATCCCGATGTGCCATTCACTGGCTTAAAAATGGCCCCATTCTCTTACTTTCCCAGTCCCACTACTAAACGGGAAATCTGCAAACATTTAATTACCACCTTCTAGATCCGACATCAGGTGCGCAATCAAATACCGCAGGGTCACATCAACGCCTCGTTTCCGTTTTTTCGCCTCATCGCTGTTAAGTTTTTAGTTATCGCCACAAAGACAAGCAGCATTAACTTTAGGGCTCGTTTGTTTCAATCAATAAACTAATAAGAAGCGTTTCTACACCTCAGTCCGGCCAGGTAACGGCAGTCTTAAAATTAGCGCAGCTGGCACCGCGCCAGGAGGTGTGAGAGACAGGTATGCTGCAGGTGATCCAGGGCTATGTGCATGGTACGTTGAACGCTCGTTCGTTCCATTCAAGAGAAAACGGTGGCGGATCAAAGTTGTGGTTCCTGTGCGGTGAAGGGGCCTGCTTCATAAACCCCTACCTTCCTGTGTAGTGAAGGGAGCGAGGGGCTTCTTTGGAAACCTCGCCATTTGTGGTGGGCAGGTCTTTTCTTTTTTTTTTTCAATCTCACTCTCCGCATTTTTTTTTTTTTACTTTCACCCTAATGTGCGGTGGGAAAGTTTCTTTATAAACCTCATCCACATGTTGAATGTAGAATAAAGAAAAGTGATACTCTATGTACAGGGCTGAAACAAGAGCTTTTGCAAACGACTATATGATTACACAGATAACGATTGCAAGCGTTATCACAGAAAGAAGACATAAACGGCTTAGATATGTTTGCAAAATGCATACTGATGCTCTTTTAAATATCGCAGGGAGACGGTTGCAGAAGAATGGAAACTAGGGTGCACTAAGAAAACACGGAGGATAGTAGAAAAGGAAATGAAAGAATGAAAAATAGCAGGGGGTATCATGGAGAGAAAAGAAGCAGACCGGCAGCAATGGAGATCACTTGTTAAAGGAGTCAACAACGACGTAATGAGGACAGACAGACAGACAGCTAGACAGACAGACAGCTAGACAGACAGACAGCTAGACAGACAGACAGACAGACAGACAGACAGACAGATAGACAGACAGACAGACATGTGTACATGAGTATGAAAGATGTCAGCTGTAAGAGAGTTTAGGAGCTCTTCTCTTAGAATCGTTCTTCAGAAAATCACAGCATCGTCTCCTCTGTCAAGATACAATCACAACTACAGTCATGTGTTTTCTACTGCACATTTCTGGAGACGCCCCTGGTAAAGACCAACTTTATCATTACGCCCAGAAAGACGACGATAGCCCACCTACGACCCCGTGCTCTCTGATATACATTTCAGGAGACGCCTATCAAGATGTAGCTACGACACCTATAAGCCAGAGTTCTCTTCTCATCAAATTTCTACAAACGCCCCTGACAAGACTTATCCCCCACTTCCCCCCCCCCCTTTTTTTCCCCTTCTTTCCCTTCTTCACCCGCCTCCAGTAGGTAACTATCAACAACTGATGACGCAAACGGGAATTCCAGGCCAACAGATAAATAACTTTTGGAAAAATGAGTTGTAGTGTGTGTGTAAGTCCTCTCTCTCTCTCTCTCTCTCTCTCTCTCTCTCTCTCTCTCTCTCTCTCTCTCTCTCTCTCTCTCTCTACCTATGTCTTTCTGTATCTGCGAGAGAGAGAGAGAGGGAAGGGACAGAGCGAGTGGTGACTATAGATTGCGGGCGAAAACAGCATAGGAACAACCTGCATTCAGGACATATGTCGACAGGCGTGGGCAACTATGCCTCCCTGTAACTCTCAATCAATCAATCAATCAATTAGCAAGTCCTTTACAGAACGTCGCTCTCTTTACGGCAATTCTGAAAGTATCTCTTTCCCTAGCCAGCTCTCCGGCCCCATGTGCTTTCAATGTCAATGCTTCTTTAATGTCCTGTATCCACAAACTGCCTTTCTGTACACCCTGTTGTACAATAATTCTACACCAAGTTAACTGCTTTCAATTTTTTGGTTACTGCGACCGATACTTATTTAAGGCTGGGTGAAGGTGGGGGCCAATGTGATTTTGGTTTAAATCCGGCTCGATGCGGATTCTGAAACCACGACTTTTAAATCGTAGCAGAAATCAGGCTTCAATATTTTCTACTAATCTGTAATTCACCACAGAGGATGTCAGTAAGGACTCTACAGCCTCCATCCTCCTCCGAATGTTTTCTGACTATCTAAGCCTTCCAAGACTGAGCAATGAGAGGTCGATAACCAAAGGAAACGAAGTCACCTTCAAGGCATTCAAGGGGTGTGAAGGGTCCTTCACTTACTTTACTAAAAGATAAGGGAACAAGAATGGACAAAGGCCCTTACCCTTCTTGGCTAAAGCTCCAGCGCTGTTGTAGATAGTGGTGTCTTCAACCGCCAACTCGCCATCCTTGACTAGCTGGTTCCATAGACGGCTGAGGCCATCTTTGTTGAAACATGCCTGCAAGGACCACAGATAAACGCATGTACTGAGTGACTGACTGATTAACTGTACAAACTAACACAGAAAATGTCACTAGATAGCCGACATACAATATACGCACAAAGTTAACTGACGAGAAACTCTGAGAAATCCTCTTTCTATAGCCTGCTGGGGTACCGGGTTCGATCCCAGCTGTGTACAATTTGTCTAGCATTGGTTTCGATAGTGGAACCGAAGGCTGACCGTTCAGGGCAGTAGCAAACTACTGAAGGTAAAAACGACAACAGCCCAAAAAGTGCTGGAGTTGGTTCCGCAACGTTTAAAATTAGTATTAGTTGTAACTTTCTCTGACCTCCACAAATTTCCTAGCGCAATTAAAACTCCTCCTTCGTTTCGAATACGTATTTTAATATTTATCCCGTCTTTATCTACCTTACTGTGTAAAAAGGAACTCCGCGACTTGAAGGTTTTGGTCAATAAAATAATCTAAGACTGGTGTCATATGTCCGATGCGCCCCTGACATAAATATTGTCTATACACCTTCACCGCCTTCCCCCCCCCCCCCCCCCCCATATTCGGCACTTCCTGGGAAGAATCAATCAGAGAATCTCCAAACACGCAGTGGAATGGGGAACGAATGCGTTAAGTAAATGAAGGTATTCACAAGAAACCCTCAAACAAACGTTGCTGAGAGAGGCCACAAGCGCTGAGCTACATTTCCTCAATGAAATTGAAAAGCTGCACCCGGGAAAACGCAACAGAATGCTAGAATGCGATCCCTATGTGACATACAAACGACATGGCCGGAAAATAATGATATTAAATGTAACGATAAGAACGAACCCAAAGAAACATGTATAACTACTTCCTTTATTAGACTACTTTTGCGGTGTAGGCAGAGGGTCTTTCAGCCTAAGTATTTACGGTCGTATGGCTAGTGCTGTCGCCACGACTGTGCAAGTGAGGATTTTATTTTCCCCCTGACTGGAAAAAATCCCCAGCCTTACCAAGGATTCGAACCCGGGTCTCCCGCTTGAGAGCCCAGCGCTCTAACCGTTCGGGCAGCCGCTCCAATACATATGTCTTGTTCTTCTTCAGCATTCCTTGAGGTTCACTGCTGCAGATATCACCCGCCTCCATTCATCTCTCTGGTTGGACTTCTCTTTCCAGTTGGGAACACCAAGTGTTTGCAGGTCTGTCTGGATATTATCTCTCCATCGTCTTCTTGGTCTGCCTGGTGGTCTACGACCATTCATCTCCCTTGTGTATACAGTTTTTACTTCTCTGTCATCTGACATTCTTTCAATATGTCTAGCATGTGTAATTAATTTGGGTATTCACATATCTGGGTCTTTCTGGTCCAAAGGATTCGTGCGCAGTGATAAAATGTCCCAATGTATAATACGCGGGAGACTGGAGCACTCGTAAAAATATCCACGTGTCGTGAAAGTAATCTTTTACAAAAACCCAAGTTAAATTTCCCCAAGTCGAAGAACAAGAAATCATACGACAATACTGACGACTGTGCGTCCCCCAGAGCAATGCCAGGTGACCTACTTTCCGCCTCGTTACATGTAACGTAAAAGTCCAACCTTCAAGTGAGTCTGGAATACAACTCTCTTCGATAGAAGGAAACACTCTAAAAACTAGAAAAACCCTCACAGACCTGGCATCAAACGAAATAAAAGTGCCCCAGGCATACTGGCACAGGTTCTCAAAGTTAGCTTTTGCCAAATGTTCCTTCAAGTTTGGAGTTACCTGTTAACTAACTGTTATCCAGCCCAGGCGCACTTTAAACCGGCAACTACAGCAGTAGTTCTCAAACTGCACAACCGGGAGGAAGCCCCTGGCATATTCTCCAGGTCTCAGAAGAGAAGAAAAAAAATTCCTTATGATAAAACAATGTTCTTGAAAGAAACTGACTCACGAAGAAAACTGTTTGCCCACATCAGAAAGAGACAATCTGCATTTTTTGGTCAGGTGATGAGAAGGTGACAGTATGAAAGTTGGAGGGTAGGAGAAGCAGAAAGAGGCCGAGAGAAAAGATGCTGGACAGTCTGACATCATTACATGGAGGATCATCTGTATCGGAGTAGACTTGAAAGTACATGAGATAGAAGATTGTGGATTGACATGACTACCACACGGCACAGACTTTAAGAAGATGAAAACGTATAAAGCGGTTCAAAACAATACGTTCCCTTGGTGAATCTAAATAATGCGGACAGTAAACAACACACTGCTCGATTCAACTATCGTGAACTTCGGCCGGTAATCGGAACAACGTGACACATAGAAGACATGTGATTTGTTTTTCAATGGAATGGATTTAAATGTTCGTGCTTCAATACATGATGATGTGAGTCTGTGGTAATGCAGCTGACTAGATGCAGCAACATATTCCTGGAATAAAGCAATGCTCAATTATTATTTAGTTTCAACTGCATGTATATACGTTGTATCTGTATGCGGCGGCTAAAAAAAAAGGCCAACCTCGCCCAACCTGTTCAAAGAAGAAGGCTTTAAAAGACTCCACCATCCTCCAAGCCACTATTTACTACATCCTCCAAGCCACTATTTACTACATCTACTAGTATCAGATATTAGGAAGATAACTAGAAAGGTGATGTTTGTTTATTCCTTGAAACCGTTGTCGTTCTCACATGTTGATGCAAACTAGACACGATTACTGTATTGTGAAAGATTATGTGAAGTAAAGGCGATCAGCCTGATAGTCAGCACATTAACCATCGTGTGCCGCTGTATCTACATTAAGCTGGGGGCATGCACCATAAACCCAACACTTCTCAATGCAAAAAAAAGGGGCACTCGAATTTCGCTTCACACAGAACTCTAATAGCATTCCGAGGAGCCGGGGTCCTGCGATAGCCCTGTTTATAATCCTTGGTGTAAACGTTCTGAATTGCGAAAGTGACGCAAAAGACCGACACAGGATGAACTGAGCATGAAAGAAAAAAAGAAAACACAAATGACGTTTACACAGCTTTACAATCAACAAAACCAGAGCTTGCAAGGTGACAATAAAACTGTTGCAAACATTGTTATGGTCTGTGTCACCTGGGTAAATCAATACGTTCACAACATTAAGGTTGTCTGTTCAACAAGATATAAGTAAAGGACCTTTTTCTATCTCTGCGGGTGAACTGGGCATATAGGGCTAGACTTATTTTGTATAGACCAATGGACACTTGGTGGTTGATGTGGTCAGCATCATACCGGCCGCTTTGACTTGCCACGACTCCACCTGGCACCGATTTAAGGCTGGGTGACCTGGTAACCAAGGTTATTTTTGAAAAAAGTCCAGGACATAAACCCACAACTTTTCGATCCGTGGGTGAGCGTTTAGCCGCGTAAAGGGGGTAGGTGCCTGCAACTGGGCAACAGCTGGCTTTCCAAATTTCACTGTCCAGGCCTCACAGAGAAGAACCAACTGGATGACCCCAAAATGCGAAAAAAAAGGAAGTCTGTACTCGGGATATGACGCGTCTTTATGAAGTGAACATGATGGGTAGATGATATGGGGTGAGCTGTATGATCGGAAAGTATACTTCTGAGTTGGCTATGGGACTAGGCTTCACTGTGGCAGTTAGAGAAAGAGAGAGAGGGGGAATGGAGAAAATGCAGAAGAAGAAGGTAAAGACAGCCTTTGGCATGAGAAAATGTAGAGGCACGAACGCATAGATGGAGACATCTAGCACGAGAAGGAACCAGATACAGTTACTGGTAAATGCATGGAAAGATGTTGGTGAGCATGGTGATGGGTTGTCAAGAGCACTTAAACAATGCACCCACACATGAAGGAAGCATTAGAATGGGCACAAAAAACTGCGTTACCAATAGAATGTACAGCTGTCTCAACACGGAAATCAACCAGAAAACAATATCATATTTAACCAAAATGCGAAAGATTACACAAAGTAAATATAACACAACAAAATCAACGTTTTTTCTCAATGCATTGTGGGTTAGCCAAGTTTCCTGGTAGGCGGAATTAGATCAACAAACGACTGAGAGTAAACAAGCTGAATAAAGAAATATGTGTAACAACCCAATGCCCGTTAAAATAAGAACAGATTCAGTAAACACACCAGCCTGTCTGAACAAACAGGAAGTCAACTTGGTTGGGGTTATAGTCGTAGTATCAGACTGCAATAACGCAAATAAACAAAATGCTAGATTAAACATCTAGGATTTTCTTCGGAGGTGGAAGAGTAAAATTTGAAGCAGAAAAATTGTTTGGGGCGAGATTTGAGTAGCAGAAGTAGTAACACTGCTAGTGGTGGTTGTAACACTGTTAGTGGTAGTGGTAACATTGCTAGTGGCAGTTAGTAGCAGTAATAGTAGTAGGAGCACGACGACGCAAAAAAAAAAAAAAAAAGAGCATCAGCGATGTAAGTGAAAAATAAAGGGAAGGGGAAGGACGGAACTACCCAGCAGTTAAATAACAATGACTGACTTCATTTCTGCTCTCAAATGCATCCCTCATTTATCAACTCATTATCGAGTTACAGCGCCAGTCTCCGGCAATTATAACAACATCGCTAGTGTTTCCTCTCACAGCCGGGGGCAGGTATGGAATTCTGCGATGATCTGTTTATTCCTATGCTGCTTTGGTCCCATCCAGAAGTTGTGCCTAACTTTAAAAATTTTAACTCAGTAGCTTGTCGGTGTAAGTTGTTGAAAACGTCGGTCTCATTACGGTTTGCCGGAAAGAAACTTGGTCTCTCACCAGCTCTCCCGCCTCATGTACTTTTATACTCAAGGAGTCACTTATATCATGTGTAAATCTTCGTGTTGGTCAGCCCCTGCCCCCCCCCCCTTTTCCTGGTACTATGCATTCTGCTATTATTTTTTGCAATCCGTCGTGGTGCTTGATATGACCAAAATATTTCATTTCCGAGACAGGATGCTATTTATTAGCCAATCTTCCTCGGTGTTAAGATCTTTCAAAATGTCAATATTTCTTGTTAATAATCGGTCCTTTAACACAAACATA